CAGTGGCACCTGCTGCCATTGGCGGTAATTGGCAGCTGTCAAGTACAAGGCCTGGCCCACCCACCTCATTGATGTCACTGAAAGCCCGTGTGTGGCTGAGGAGGTCAACATGCTGTGCAAAAAAAGGGGTGACGGTGTCACGATCCATAACTCGTCCAATCAGAGAACACCTTGTGTCTGTTGATAAAACTTCTCAGCCTCCCCCTGGTGCAGCACTGTCAGTTCTCGACCAAACAGCCATTGATATGCTGCTCGACGCCGAGTGTCGGCTTCAGGTGGAGTGGACGGGGCTCCATCCATATGTGCATCGCTTACAGCTTCCTCGCATGTCCTGTAGAGGTGCCTGGACTGGAATGACGTCACATTCTGGCTCCCGAAACCTTTACAGGGAGTGCAAGGGAGCTGTACCAGCAATGCACATATGGATGTCACAGCACAGCAGCCCACACTGGACCCCAGGCTGAGGATCCGCTCCAGTTCTCGTACGGTAGGGAGACCGGGTGCATCTTTAAAAAAAATGTTATTGTAGTGTGTGTGAGATTGTGGTTGTGTGTGTCTGTCAGTGTTTTTGAGGGCCTGTTCACACCAGTACATTGTTAATCGAACAGTCCTGCGGGATTAATGCACTGTACCATGCAATAGCACCTACTACGCATTTTGGTGTTGGAGGTGCGTTGCTTTGCCACTCATTTGAATAAACGTAGAGATACCTTGTCGCACTCCTTACCGGAAAATGCCAATTAAATGAGGGGGGGGGGGGGATGATCGTAATGACTGCGAATGGCGCCGCCAGATAATGTAGGTAGATGGATGTCACCAGCACACCAAGAGTAATGTAGTCCACAGTGCTCGTTTATTTCAAAACGTCATATCATCAGATGATGCCGTGCGTTCCATTGAAGTGCGACTTGGGTCGCAGCTTAATGACCAAGGACAAATGTGGATCCTGAGGTTACACAGGTTGAGAACCACTGCTTTAGAGGATCCCCCATGGGTCGATCAGGTATTAGCATATGCATACTAAAGGTGCCCATACACTGCACGATTCTCGTACGAGAATCGCGGGAAATCCCGCGATCGTGCAGTGTGAATGAAGACGTGCGACCGTTTCTACTGCATGGTCTCACGTCTTTTGTCTAAGGAGCATGCTAGAAAAACCAGCCGAAAATCTTACGATTTTCGGCTGGTTTGAATGATGCTCTGGAGACAAATGCCGCACGCACGCGCACACTGCCCGTTCAGCATTGCGGTCATCGCAAGTACGATCTGCCTGTCCAAGATGGGCAGATCGTACTTTTTTTTAATTACGCAGTGTATGGCCACCTTTAAGCCCCGTTCACATTGAGCGATTTATCGCGCGGTAATTCCCGCGATATCGCGGCAAATTACCGCACGATATCGCGCTCCAATGCATTTCAATGGGGCAAAGGGTCCTGCTGTTGCGGGTCGTGTGTCGCTACAGCAGGACCCTTTTTGGAGCGGATTTAGCCGCGATTCAAGCTTGCTCAATGCAAGCTTGAACGCGATATCGCGCGGCAAATCTCGCGATGTCGTGCAATATGCAAATCGCGCGACAAACGCGCGATTTGCATATCGCGCAGTGGGAAACGGGGCCTGACATTGGGCCAAGCTGATCCAGTGTAAGCATGCATAATAAGTTCCACCTGGAGCTCCGCTTTAACTTGCCATTAGCAGTACAACTATGAGCGTAAGAAACTGAAATCAGGACGACGTGCTATTCTTCCCTGGCACACGGGTTGTCTTTCTTGCAACTAATTAGATCCAAAGTTATCATCACTAAATGCTAAGAGAGCAATATGTTCATTCAGGGAACTGAGCCGTCAGCACTTGGGGCGTCAGGAATTGTTTTTTTCCTCCTGTGTGCCAGAATTCTGACCAGTCGCCCCATTGGTTGGTTATCTTCTCTTGACCAAAACCGCAGGAGAAGGGAGAGCTAGAACTTGATGGACGTCAGTCTGTTTCCAACTTGATGTAAATATAAGTTGTTTATGGCTTTTTTTTTTTTTGTTGCCAGTCATATTTATCTTTTTATGATACTTGACTTATGTTCTTTGTGATTTCAGGTTTTATTTGCTTTATTTTTATTAAACTTATGTTCTCGTCTGTTTTTTCTGTGTAACAGATGTGGGCCTGCGCTCTTGGGCACACGGAAGCTGCCACCCTCCTCTTCCGCTGGGACTGCCGGGCTCTCTCTATACCAGACTCCTTGGGCCGCTTTCCTCTTGGAGTGGCCCGTTCTCGAGGACACGTCAAATTGGCCTCCACTCTAGAGGAGATGCAGAGGCAGGAAGCGGCGCCGGGAAACTTCACCGAGTTGCATTCCGTCAGTTGGCACTCATTGATTGGAAGCCAGGAGATTGGCCGAGGGCTCTCCCCACTGTCTACAAGTGCAGACACCGGTAATGACACCTTTCGGGGTCCAGAGCTTCTGCTGTTTCCTCAACCTGCGTGTCC